CTTCCTGCAGGTGTTTCTGGCTCTGGAGCTGTGGAGTCTGGATCTGTGGTTGCGGGTCACCTGCTGCCCCCGTGTTCCTGCTCGACACCCTCTGCTGCAACGACTATTGTTGCTAGTCTTATTGGTATTATTGTTATTATAATCATTAACATTACGACTGTTACCATTAACACTACTATAAATATCTGTACCATTTTCATTTAGTCTATAGCAACATCACCTTTACTGTCTGTACCTCTGTGTGTGGATATTGTGTAGGCTGCCTCTCTCCCCTCTCTCTCTCCTTACATCCCTCTCTTTTTCTCTCTGCCCCCCCCCCCTTTACCCCAACCGGTCGAGGCAGATGGCTGCCCACCCTGAGCCATGGTTCTGCTCTTAAAAGGAAGTTTTTCCTTGCCTCTGTCACCTAGTGCTTGCTCTTGGTGGGAACTGTTGGGCTTCTGTAAATAGCATCACAGAGTACGGTCTAGACCTGCTCTTTTATGAAAAGCGCTGTGAGATAACTGTTTGTGTAAAATTGAATTGAATTGAATCCCAGACAACCTGAGAGGTCTGGATGGTTCATAACGAAGCAGAAGATCAGAAATGTATTTTGGCCCTAAACCATTTAGTGCTTTATAAACTAACAGCAGGATTTTGAAATCAATTCTTTGACATACAGGAAGCCAATGTAAAGATCTCAGAACTGGATTGATGTGATCCACCTTTTGAGGACTCGAGCAGCAGCATTCTGAATCAGCTGCAGCTGTCTGATGGATTTCTTAGGGAGCCCCGTAAGGAAACTGTTACAGTAGTCAAGACGACTGAAGATAAATGCATGGATAAGTTTTTCCAGGTCCTGCTAAGACATAAGTCCTTTAATCCTTGATATATTCTTCAGGTGGTAGTAGGCTGACTTTGTAATTGTGTTAATATGGCTCCTCAAATTCAGGTCTGAGTCCATGACTACACCAAGATTTCTGGCTTGATTTGTGGTTCTTAACATTACAGATTGAAGTCGAGCACTGACTTTCAATCGTTCCTCCCTGGCTCCAAAAACAATAACTTCAGTTTTATCCTTGTTTAATTGAAGAAAATTCTGGCACATCCAATCGTTGACCTGCTCAATACAGTTACTCAGCGCCTGTATGGGATCATAGTCCCCTGGTGAAATGGTTATGTAAATCTGTGTGTCATCTGCATAATTATGGTAACATATTTTGTTGTTTTTCATAATCTGAGCCAGTGGAAGCATGTAAATGTTAAACAAAAGAGGTCCCAGAATGGAGCCTTGGGGAACTCCACATGTCATTTTTGTCAGCTCAGATGTGTGATTACCTATAGACACAAAGTAGTCCCTGTCCTTTAAGTAGGATTCAAAACAGTTAAGTACTGTGCCAGAAAGTCCAACCCAGTTTTCAAGTCTGTCAAGTAATATGTTGTGGTCGACCGTGTCGAATGCAGCACTGAGATCCAATAATACTAAGACTGAAATTCTGCCACTGTCAGTGTTTAAATGGATGTCATTGAAGACCTTAACAAGAGCCGTCTCAGTGCTATGGTGTGGTCGAAAACCTGACTGGAAGACATCAAAACAGTTATTTAGTGCCAAGAAAGCACTAAGCTGTTGATAAACAGCCTTTTCAATGATTTTACTTAGAAATTAGAGATTTGATATGGGCCTATAATTGCTCATTAGTGAACTGTCAAGATTGCTCTTTTTTGAGCGGCTTAATGACCGCAGTTTTCCTGTGGGGGAAAAAACCTGAGAGGAGAGACATGTTGACAGTTTGTAGTAGATCTGAGGCCATGCATTTAGACACATTTTTGAAAAAACCTGTTGGCAGAATATCAAGGCAGCATGAGGAGGATTTCAGATGTTGTATTATGTCCACCAGGTTTTTATAGTTAATAGAATCAACTTGTTTCATGCTATATGAATTGTTTTTAAGTGGACACAGGGACAAGACATATCCTGTTACTGGCATGGAGGCACTGATTGCTTGTCTAATTGTTTGAATTTTGTCTGTGAAGGAGGAGGCAAATTCATTGCAGGCCCTGGTGGATAGAAGTTCAGAGGCTACAGACACAGGAGGGTTGGTTAGCCTGTCGACTGTAGCAAACAGGGCACGTGCATTATTAGTGTTTTTGGTGATGATGTCAGAGAAGAAGGACCGCCTTGCATTTCTATTCAATTAAATTCAATTCAATTTTATTTATATAGCGGCAAATCACAACAACAGTTATCTCACAGCACTTTTCATAAAAGAGCAGGTCTAGACCGTACTCTATGATGTTATTTACAGAAGCCCAACAATTCCCACCAAGAGCAGCACTAGGAGACAGAGGCAAGGAAAAACTTCCTTTTAAGAGGCAGAAACCTCGAGCAGAACCATGGCTCAGGGTGGGCGGCCATCTGCCTCCACCGGTTGGGGTGAAGGGGGGAGAGAGAGAGAGAGAGAGAGATTTCTCAGCTCTAAATTAGAAATGCGAAGTCTCTCTTTATAGATGTCATAATGAACCTGGAGATTTGTTTTCCGCCACCTGCGTTCAGCTTTTCGACACTCTTCTTTTTTGAGTTCTAACCAGCGTGGCATTTCTCCATGGAGATCTTCTCTTACCAGAGACCACCTTCACCTTGGCTGGTGCAATGGCATCAATAACATTTGTAATTTTAGAACTGAAATTATCTACAAGCTCATTGACTGAGACCTGTGAGAGGGCAGGTGTTGAGGAGAAAGCCTCAATAAATTTTTCACTAGTGTTTTCAGTGATATGCCATTTTGTGATCACCTCTGTTTTAACATTTGTGTGCACGCAGATAACACTCTCAAAGAAAACACAGAAATGATCAGAGAAAGCAACATCAGTCACCACAACCTTGGAAATGTCCAGACCCTTGGAGATGACCAAGTCCAAAGTGTGCCCCTTATTGTGCGTGGGCCTCGTCACATGTTGAGTCAGTCCATAATTATCAAGAAATCAAAACAGTTCTTTAGTCCCTCTGTCCTGGGGCAACTCCACCTCCTCTCTTATGCACTCTAGCTTCACTCATAAAACTGAAGCTGGGAGGGGTAGACTCGATCAGGACAGCTGCACTGTTATCTTGGTCCAACCAAGTTTCAGTTAAAAACATGAAATTAAGATTGTGAGTGATTATAAAATCATTGATTAAAAATGTTTTTCCTGCCAAAGACCTTTTCCTGCCAAAGAACGTTTAACAATGCTAAATTTAGTGTGTTAAAAATTATCTGGCCCACTTGTTTCGACAGGCTGCAGCTGACCAGGAATTAATACAAAATTTGCAGGATATGTTGAGTGCTTCCTGTTTCTTAACACATTCACCATGCTATTTCTGTTACCTATCAAGACAGGGATGGAGAAGACTACCAGCACATTGGGCCCCGGCTTGTCCTGGGAAGAGTCATGAGTGCTATTTTCCTTGTAGCCTGGACCCAGCACATATCAGTCAGAGCTTACTGGGCTTTTTCGCCATTGCGGAGCGGGAAGGCGGGTTGTGCGCTGTATTTGTGACAAATGTGTCAAACCTGGAGGACTTAGAACCAGTGGTGGAGGTGGACGGTGAGGGGGGTTTAGGGTAGAGAAAATGGGAGTGGAGCGAGGGAAGGTGCGGGGAGTAAATTTGGTCCAGCTCTAACCAGGTCTTCCATGTGATCAGCGAAGTCCAACAGGGGGGAGAGGGGAGAAAGTGTGTCTGAAGGTGGGGATTGGAGGGGTAGAGATGTTGAATCCTCACTGTTGGTTTTCAGTGAGAGAGGTGGAGACTCTTCCTCTTGGCTCAGATGTCTCCCGTGATCAGAGCTCTCTTCCAGTGGGGGTTGGGATGGCTCTCCTTCAAGGTTTCTGGTGTGTTGTGTTATGTCTTCTAATATAAAATATAGGCAGCATGAGAAACCTCCTCCCTTCTGAGGTGCATTTTCTTTGCACATTAAAATCCAAAAAGAAACGTCTCCTCATTAGCTAAAAAGGACTAGTTTGCATCACTAATTAGCTTTACTAACCTCAGCTCCTCCGTCCTTTCTTTTCCAAAACCACTTTTTCAAACTGAAAAATAATTGAATCAGTCTGTACAGGACAGAGCTGCAGGCTACGTCAGTTTAGTCTAAGTTTGTACCTGATGTTCTCAACATTGGACAAGTAGGCAGTAATAAAGTACAGCTTTCAGTTACTTTATAGTCTATAAATTGAACTAATGTTAAGTTACATAGCAGCTATGTAGCTGCTGTAGAAGCTTTTCTGCTCTAATGCTGCATACAGAGTGACTACTGGGTCTGCACCCATCAACCTAAACTCCATAATACAAACTTACGTTCCTTCTGGGCCGCTACGCTCCAACGAACGCCGCCTGGCTCTGCCATCCCTTCACACAAAGCAATCCCAGTCCCGGCTATTCTCATCTGAGACACCACGATGGTGGAACGAGCTACCACACGCCATCAGAGCAGGGGCGTCCCTCTCTGACTTCAAGAAGCTCTTGAAAACTCATCTCTTCCGAGAACACTTCCTCTTATAACACCTCTAACTCCTAACCTCTAACATGCACTTCCTGTGCTTTTCTTCTTCTATCCCCTACAATGATCTTGTATTGATTGCACTTTTTTCTTAACTCAAACTTCTTTCCTCAGGTATTTACCCCATTGATGTGATATGTGCTATGACTCCACACTAGTATTTATTGCTGCTCTTACTAGTATGTATTGTTAGTTGTAGATTTGTATTTGATGCTTTGTTGATGCTTGTATGTTGTTCCTCAATTGAACGTCGCTTTGGATAAAAGCGTCTGCCAAATGAGCAATTTTGAAATTATTTTGAACTGGACGTTGGCTATATATTATTGCTAACTTGATTGCGAAGCCCTACCATCCAAAAACGATGCCAAGGAGTCTTGACAATTTTACTGGGGCACAGCACATGGATATAGCGGCATGTACCCCAGTAAAAAGGGTCTAGCAATGCCTATGGCCATGACTGACTGTACTTTCTGTCTGCTGTGTTTTCAGCTTCAGAGACAAAATGGCTTCCAGATTAGCGGAGGAGCTCAGCTGTCCGGTCTGTCATGAGGTCTTCAGAGATCCTGTTGTTCTGTCATGCAGCCACAGCTTCTGTAAAGTCTGTCTGGATGACTACCGGAGAGAGAAACAAGCACTTGAGTGTCCAGTTTGTAAGAAAAGATCTTCAAGGTTAAAACTAACTTGTAACCTGGTGTTAAAGAACCTGTGTGAGGCCTTCTTACAGGAGAGAGATCAGAGAGCTTCAGAGGCTCTCTGCAGTCTGCACTCTGAGAAACTTAAACTCTTCTGTCTGGACCATCTGCAGCCAGTGTGTCACATCTGCAGAGATTCAGAAAAACACAGCAACCACAGATTCAGACCCGTCGATGAAGCTGCACGACAACACAAGAAGGAACTTCAGGAAACTCTGGAGCCCTTAAAGGAGAAGTTAAAGGAGAAGTTAAAGGTTTGTGAACAAGTTAAAGAGGAGTTTGATCAAACAGCAGAACACATGAAGGTCCAGGCCCGACACACAGAGAGGCAGATTAAGGAGCAGTTTAAGAAGCTTCACCAGTTTCTAGAGGAGGAAGAGGAGGCCAGGATGGCTGCACTGAGGGAGGAAGAGGAGCAGAAGAGTCAGATGATGAAGGAGAAGATGGAGGCTCTGAGCAGAGAGATAGCAGCTCTTTCAGACATAGTCAGAGCCACAGAGGAGGAGCTGAGAGCTGAAGACGTCTCATTCCTGCTCAACTACAAGGCTGCAGTGGAAAGAGTCCAGCAGCGCCTCCTGCTGGATGATCCACAGCTGCCCTCAGGAGCTCTGATAGACCAGGCCAAACACCTGGGCAACCTGGCCTTCAACATCTGGAACAAGATGAAGGACATGGTCTCCTACACTCCTCTCATTCTGGACCCAAACACTGCTGATCCATATCTCATCCTGTCTGAAGATCTGACCAGTGTGAGACGAGGAGAGAGACAGCAGCTTCCTGACAATCCAGAGAGGTTTGATGAACACTACTCTGTCCTGGGCTCTGAGGGCTTTAACTCAGGGACTCACAGCTGGGATGTTGAGGTTGGAGACAGTACAGACTGGTTACTGGGTGTGTCAGCAGAGTCTGTCCAGCGGAAGGGAGACAACATAGGGTCTGGATTATGGGGAATAGGGTTCTCTATACTTGAATACTCAGCAGTGTCACCATCAGCCCCAGCCACTGTTTTCAGTGTGCAGGAGAAGCCCCAGAGGATCAGAGTGAATCTGGACTGGAACAGAGGAAAGCTGTCGTTCTCTGATCCTGATACTAACACACACATACACACCTTCACACACACTTTCACTGAGAGGATGTTTCCATTGATTCGCACTTGGTATGAAGTGAAGCTGTCAGCAGTGAAGGTCTGTGTGACAGTGGAACAGAGCAGTTAGAGATAAAGAGGATGATTATATTCATGATGTTGTTGATTTCTTAAAGGGAAAAGTCTCTGAATTTAACCTGTTAAGCTGCACCTGTCCTCCTGCTGTCTCATTATTCCAAACATATCTTTATTTTCTCTCACTTGTTGTTTTTATTGTTTGTATTTTCTTTTTCTTGTTGTTTAGTTTGACAATCAGCTTTTTGTTTCTCCTGTCAGCCTTTTCATATGTAAAATTATTAGTTTCTTTATGTTTGTTTGGTTTAGCCGTTTCTTTGTTATCCACACTGTCATTTTAAATAGTTGTTCATGTTTTATTATTTTGACTTGTGTGTGTGTGGAGCCATGAAGACCAGCAGCCACTTTGTGGAAGCTGATGAGGATTAATTAATTACATGTGTGAAATCTTTACAAAATATAAAATAGATGTTTTAAATTATCCAAAACATTTGTACAAGTTTTGTTTGTCTGTCTACATCAGTGGAGCTGAGGTGGAGCAGGTGGGAATCAGCATCACAGAGAACCTGACATGGTCGTCTCACATCTCCACGCTGGTGAAAAAAGCTCAGAAACAACTGTATTTCTTGAGGAAGCTTGAGAGCTTACAGAGGAGCAACAGAAAGCATCCTGACGAGAAGATCATTGGTACCCATCTCCCGAGCATCAGTGATATCGGTGAGGTGCCTACGCAGAGCCCAAAGGATACTAAAGCACAGTACCCACCCAGCCACAGCCTGTTCACCCTGCTGCCTAATGGGAAGAGATATAGAAGTTTCTGCTGCCGCACCACCAGACTGCAGAGCAGCTTTTTCTCCCAAGCTATCGGACTCTTAACCTCTAATTCATCCTCAGCACTGCTCCAGTGATGATGGTTTATTTCCTTTTACCGTTTTTATTAGTGCTTTTGTATTACAGTATATTGTCTGCTTGGTAACGGAAGGGAGTTACAAACAAGTAATTTACACCTTCTATAAAGAAACGTGAAACTGCTTACACAAGTTTTCAAAAAATGTCTCCTTTTTTCAAAACTCTGTTCATTGTTCACACTGCAAAATGCCTCATATGTCCTTCAAAATGAAAAACTGCATTCAAATTGCCATAAATACATCTCAAAATGAAGCACTTGCAACTTTTCATAATAGCAAATTTTTGGATATACCATGCACACACTCTTTTGTCTTTCATAGGCTAATGTGTACGTTTCCATACAATGTTGTAGAGTCAAACTAACCTGCTGAGTGGGGTTGAAAAGTACACTGTTAACACCAATGCAGTGTTGAAACAGAAAATATTTATTTGGCTAAACATTACTGTAACAGTAGCGTAAGAGTGTTTTATAAAGTAGCATACACGAAAACAAAACCATATTGTTACGAAGGAGAATGTATTGTGTGGTGTTTCGTGTCATCCTCTCATTGCTAGGTTTCGGGTGTGTGGTCATTGCTGAACCCACCTGTGCTCGCTCAGCTGCAGAATAAAGAAGGCGGTGCCTCCACAGACAGTGGCAGACTGTGGGGAGCATGTGTTTGTTTTCTATTAAGTTTTGCCGTTTTGCAGAGTAATGACTCCTGGGAATTTTGTTTGCTTATGATCTAACAAATAATGCGGAGTTAACTTTTTTTAATCCGGTGTTTCCCATCCTTATTATCATTGTCATTGGTTACTCCCTAATTCCCTACTGGGACGTAACAGTATGTATATTTACCAATTTACTTGTGTGTGTAACCCTTTACACTGTGTAGAGAATTCAAAAACAGTGTGAGTGTGTGCAGTATAGTAAAAATGTACAGAATATTGTAGTACAGCATGATAAGCAACCTCATTCACACAATGCAGTGCAATAAATGATTGTTTAGAGTTACAAATGTTTAGGCAATACTATGCAGTAATACGTATTTTACAGTACAATACTGGAATACTGAAATAGTCATTAGATAGTTAGATACTTGTTCTCATTTTTGAAGGTTCGAATTATGGTCACCACTGTAAAGAGACTCAAGTTGGGCTGGACGCTCAGTCTATTTTCCCTCATGGTCAACCTATGGTTGATCACATGATCAGTAAGTGTGGCCTGGTCTCATCAGAGATGGCTCTTCTTCATTCTCTTCTTTCCCCCGTCCTCCTCCAACTCTTCCTCCCTCGTTGTCCTCCCCTGCCTCTCCCTCCTCTTCCCCTTGCTCTCTGTCCAGTATTGGCCTCCAGTGTTCTGGAGGATTTCAGTTTGTACATGTTAACGATGAGTCCTCCATGCATGCCAAAGTTAGTCATGGAGTTCCACAAGGATTTGTCCTCGGACCAATCCTGTTCACTTTATATATGCTTCCTTTAGGCAATATTATCAGGAAAAATCCCATAAACTTTCATTGTTACGCAGATGATACGCAGTTATATCTATCGATCAAGCCAGATGAAATTAATCAGTTAGTTAAACTTCAAATGTTAAACTCAGATAAAACTGAAGTTAGTGTTCTGGGGCCCAAGCACGTCCGTGACGCATTATCTAAAGTTATAGTTTCACTTGATGGCATCGCCATGGCCTCCAGCACCACTGTGAGGAATCTTGGAGTTATCTTTGATCAGGACATGTCGTTTAAGTCTCACATTAAGCAAATTACAAGGACCACGTAATATTGTGAAAATCAGGAACATCCTGATTGACGAAATCAACCAAAATGATGCAGAAAAACTAGTCCATGCATTTGTGACTTCTAGGATGTATTACTGCAATTCCTTATTATCAGGCTGCTCGAAAAAGTCCATTAAGACTCTTCAGCTGATCCGGAATGCTGCAGCACGTGTTCTTACAGGAACCAGCAAAAGAGATCATATTTCTCCTGTTTTAGCTTCTTTGCATTGGCTTCCAGTAAAATCCAGAATAGAATTAAAAATCATTCTTCTTACCTACAAAGCTCTTAATGGTCAGGCACCATCTTATCTTAAAGAGCTCATAGTACCTTACAACCCCACCAGAATGCACCTGTGGTTCCTAGAGTCTTCAAAAGTAGACTAGGAGCCAGAGCGTTCAGCTATCAAGCTCCTCTCCTGTGGAATCAGGTTCCAGTTTGGGTTCAGGAGGCAGACACCATCTCCACATTTAAGACTAGGCTTAAGACTTTCCTCTTTGATAAGGCTTATAGTTAGGGCTGGCTCAGCCTCTGTTGCCTAGTGCTGCTCTTGGTGGGAATTGTTGGGCTTCTGTAAATCACATCACAGAGTACGGTTTAGACCTACTCTTTTATGAAAAGCACTCTGAGATAACTATTGTTGTGATTTGGCACTATATAAATAAAATTGAATTGAAATTGAATTGTTCAAAACAGGTGATCTGACCTTTGACCTTTTTATGGGCTTATACTACAGTTTTTTCTGATTGTTTAGGCACAGTATCTGAAAGCATTGGCTTATTTTAGCAAAACACTACAAACTAATCACAAAACCTTAAACCAAAAAAACAAACATCATACCTCTCTTGCAAAAGTCTTCTCTCTGTGTTTTTTAATCAATACAGTACACAAACATTTTTCAGTAAGCACACAAAGCAGCAACTATGTACTGATAGTAAAAATTAAAAATACTTGTGGCTTTTGCGTTTCCTGTGTGTAGGGCAGAGCAGTTTGCAATGAAGTTTTGTCATGCATAGTACAGTAAAACTCAGATACACACAGGTGCCCTAATGTGTAAAGTATGGACGTGTGTTGCTCACTTGTTTTACATGAATTGAGTTTATTTTTAAAGGGACTCCTGTACAACGGCTTCACCCAATGCAGAGAGACTCACTGTGTTGATGTTTTGGAACATTGTGTTTTCTGCCAGTATGAGGTGGTGCCAGTATTGTCTCTGAATGTTATGCAGTTATTTCCAATGACCATATCTTCAATGTGGATCTCCGGTTCTGGGTCAACCTGTTTCACCAGATACTGGTTTTCTTGCAACCCTTTGATTGGTTTTGCAGTAGTGACAGATCCATTACAGCACACATTACTGAACCAGAACCAGTGCTGTACAGAGGGATTATAAGATAAGATAAGATAAGATATAACTTTATAAATTTTCGGCCGACATAGCAGCACAAAGGAATATAAAAGATGTAGTATTATAGAAGTATCAATACACTATTTACACTATACAATCAATAATAATTATTTACAACCAGATACATGTCTGAAATTACATGAAATCCAGAATAGTCTGTCAGCCTCCAAAGCGCTTTGTGGTTCAGGGCTGGATGAGTCTGTGGCTGAAGGAGCTCCTCCATTGTATGGAGCTCCTTCCGCGCGCCTGTGCGGCCCTGAGAATTTTGGTCTACGCCCACCCACAGCGTGGGCCTCTCCTACGGCCGCACGTTGTATATATACACAAAACGGTGAGACCCAGCCATTGGCTCCCATTTTTCTTCAGCACTGACCTGTCTAAAAGGCAGAAGATTTGTCTAAAGAGCAAAGACTTTCCAGCCGGAAAACAAGAAGAACAATGTCTTCCAGCAAGCCAGCCAGGATGGGGCGAGTCGCCGTGGCGTCTGCCACACGGGCTACATCGTGCTGGGTGATCTCCGTCCCCGCTGCCAGGCATGCATCGGACCGGAGCACGCTAGCCGAGCGCTCACTCTCGGTTCGCACTGCCCTTTCTGCACCCTTCTCCTCCCCCGAAGAGTGGCGCCGCCGGGCGGATAGCTTGCCATTCAGGACGAGGAGGTGTGGCGGTCCACCCGCTCTCCGGACAAAGCCCTCGATCTGCTGTTGACGGAAGAGCGGGAGTTGGATGACTCCACTCTTCCCATTCACGGGTCTCCGAGCGGCTCCATTGCTTCCCTTGTTCCGATCTCTGATGATGCCGGCCTCAACGCTATTACCGCGGCGAGGTAAGCTAACAGGGTGCCAATGCTGCGCTAAAGGATTGCTAACGTAACGTCTGCCTGGATCAGCCGACCAGGGAGACCCCATGTGCCCACGTTGCTCCACATTAGTAGTTTCATTGCTGCTGGCCGACCAATGCTAAGCTATGGGTCGAAAAAGCTGTGTGAAATCTTGTTGATCCTTTTTGAACAAATGATGTCTGTGCCTGTGTCAGTCGAACCAGCCACACCAAGCACACATTTCCCACACGGTGTGAGCCAGCTGCCGTTAGCCAAATGGCAAACCTGCAGCTTGAAGCTCAAAGCAACAAGCAGTACACTCTTCCCTTCACACACCCCTCCCCACAGAAAATGTATGAGCCCATGGCAGCAGACATTCGCTTCGTGTGGACAGAACATATACACACCCGGTACGGATATTTTTCTGACGAAGAAATCTGCCGGGCAGTGTGTGATGCTGTTGACATTATGCACGTTCTTCCACGTTCTTCATGCAGACAGTATAGCACTACTCGCCACGCTGCGCGTAGTGTTCCCCTATCTCCGCTCCACACATTACACACGCCCACATGTACGTCTCCCTTGACCTCTTCCCTTGCCGGTCGAGCAGCACAGCAGTGAGCCCCTGCCTCCCTCGC